GCGGTAGGTAAAATCTAAAAAGTTAACAATTAAATACGAAGATAACTTCTGGTATTTAAAAACAAATCATTTTTTAATATGTAACATTCTAACATGTCAAACTTTTCAAAATTTTCGTAATTGATCTTAAAAACAGGATTTTTAAAGTGACACTTCAGAAAATTTTTGAATACAAACAAATGTTGCTATGTTTATTTGAATTAAAAAAAACAAAACGTATGAGCGCCATCTATCGATAATTTATTAAGTAATTTAAAAATAATATTAAATCATAATAAAAAATGTGAAATATGCAATCTATTCCAATTTTTGTGTAAAACATATATAAATTAAACAGTTCAACAAATATATTTGTTTCAAATATCAGAAATATGTTTTTTTAATTTTTAGTTATAGAACCGTAATTTACAGGAAACTGTAAATTTAATTTCTTTGACGACACTAAAAGAAAAGTTTATTTTTAGTTTTATTCTAAAAGAATAAGAAATAGACCTGTCAAACCCTATATTTTTGTAATCAGAAAAAAGTAACGAATTTATTAAGCGAATAATCAGTGGTTGTTTCCATTTAAAAAAAAGAAAATTGTGATAATATCTCAAAATCTAAAACCGACAAAATTTTTTTGACTACGTCAGCAAATTCTCTGTAAAAAAGGGTCCATATAATGTCTTAGTTATAATACTCCACCTATAATAATAACCAAGATAATTACATTTGCGGGTTTTACGATATTTTCAATTTTGGCCTCTAGCGGAAAAACAAAAGACGATAGCGGTTTTCGGCATTAGCAGTTTCTCGAAAAACGAGATCATGACATGTCAGCTACTTTTCTTCTAACTCTTATAGTTTTCGAGTTAGCCTATTCGGATATCGAATTTGAACCACCCTGTACACTGAAAATTTTAATAACAATTTAGACCGTTTAAAACAAAAAATTGAAACTGTTATTAGTTTACCACCTGTTGGAGGTGGTATCATTGAATAAGCTTTTAGGTTAATTTATTTTAGATCGAAAATGTGTTGTTAATCTTATGATTTAAATATCTGCATTTTGCTTTTGTATCCTAAATTAATAAAATTCGGCATATCGCTATAATTTAACATAACAAATATTTTATCTTAATCAATTTTGATGTACATTGCTCAGAAAGACCACTTTACCTGCAACGGCTAACAAACTTTTTGCGTTAACTTTGGTACTTTGAGGAAATTAAAAAATATAGGGTCAATCAATTTTAAAAAAACTTTCGAATAAGCCAATAAAAAAAACTTAACCTCCCTATTATACCTTACGGGGACACAATCCGGGGACACACTGTATATACCGAACTAATAACTAATAACTAACAAAAAAATAAAAAGAATTAAAATTAACATTTTGATTCTTGTTCGCCGAGATGTCTGCGCTTCAGAGTGCGCTTCATTGTACGGTCTATTTCTTATTGTTTTAGAATAAAGCTAAAAATAAACTTTTTTTAAGGGTCGTCGAAGAAATTAAATTTACAGTTTCCTGTAAATTACGGTACTATAAATAAAAATTAAAAAAACATATTTCTCCAATCCAAAACAATGCAATCTATTAAATATAAACATAATTATTTGTTTTTAAACACTAGAAGTTATCTTCTTATTTAATTGTCAACTATTTAGGTTTCATCTACCGCTCCGTAATTTACAGGAAACTGTAAATTTCATATCTTCGACGTCACTATATAGATTTCGGCGGCGTTTAAAAATTTTATAAAATAATTAATAAAACCCCATCTAGAGTTGCAAAATAAAATAAAACCGAAACTGACAAATTGTGGATTTGGGATTTGACGGCTTTTGATTCTAATTGTCGGACAAATTGACATTTCTCAACTGACACATGCGTTTTTACGTTGACAACTTACTGTTGACGTAAAATCATAACGTTGGGTACGATAATTTAATTAATTAACACACTGTAGATTATATTAAGTGGATTAAAACTCGTTAATTCTCCAAACTTTCCTTAATCCATAAATTTTAGAGAAATGTATACGATAATTTGGGACATAGTGAGTAATTTTTATTAATTTCGTGATTGTAGGTTCACGGAACGGCTCCGGATATTGCCGGAAAAGACAAAGCGAACCCAACGGCTTTATTATTATCGGCGGTTATGATGCTCAAATATATGGGTTTAAATGATTACGGGAATAAAATCGAAGCTGCTTGTTATGACACGATTAAAGAAGGAAAATATTTGACGGGAGATCTTGGCGGGAAGGCGAAGTGTTCCGAATTTACGAACGAAATATGCAGCAAAGTTGCGTAATAAATAATGTAACGAGGAAGATCGTTACCTCTCTATTAAAATTAAAAATAGTGTGTTTGTAATTGTACAAATTTGAGTTTTAGAAAATAAGATCGATCCAAACTTATCCCCCCCGTCCTTAATCATCGTTTCTTCCTTTTTTTTTTAATGTAATTTATTACGATTGTTGTTACCCTTTAAACAGAAATAGTGATTTTATTTATGTACTAGTCCTCAAATTATTAAATTTATTTTTAAAATAATACAGTATTGGAATTTAAATGAAATAAACAAATAATAAAAGCAAAATCAATTTTTTTTCATTTATTGTTTAGTAAGTATTTTTCAGTTTTACTTTTAGTACACTTTCGTCTCATTTTGGAACTTATTTCTACATTTACTTTTAGTTATTTTCAGCGATAGATTGTATATTTTTATTAAGTTATAACATATCGAAGTTTTACTACGTATAATGTGTCAAAATGATTCAAATTTCAAAGATAGACGTTTTGCGTGACCAACCTACGGCACAAATTACTAGATATGGGGAAAAAGTGCTACCAATCGACTCTTATTTCATCGATAGCAATCATACCGACAAAAACAGTTTGTAAAACGGCGAATATTTGTTATCCTCCCGATAAGTTAATATATTTTCAAGAGATTTGACTTCTCATTAATATATTTTCATGAACAATGATTCATAACAAGAAAGTATAGATTCAGTGGGGGAAAAAGATCAACAAAGAATCTATTGGATTGGAAGAACTGGGGAATAGCAATAAAAGAAGAACTTTTTAATTATACAAAGACAGGAAACGTTTTAAAACTTAAAAAGCCAAAGTCGTGTAAAGACGAAATTAGCTTCTGTATGACGGTTGGTATGATTAACAGGGAATTTTGGTTATATCATGTTTTTAAGTTAATGTGTCATTTTGAAATTTGAAGTTTCGTTATTAAAAAAAATTTTATTTTTGGTTTTATATTTATTAAGAAATAATTGGAATCAAATTTACGTGAAAAAGGCGTAATTTATTTAGAGTTATTGAAAATGTTACTAAAAATCAAAATAATAATATTCATTTAGCTTTAATACCAACAGAAAAAAGAAAAATTTGAATTTGACTGATTTGACTTTGACAGGTATTAAGAAAAAAAAAATAAGGTTATAATTTATATTTTTTTATATACATATAATAAAACGATACATAAATCTTTTTAATTAATAAATGTTATTTATTGAAAAATTGGTTCCTTACAAAAAGATATTTTATTAGAACCACTAAAATGTTCGAAAATTAAAATGACGTTCTCTCCGTTTTTTAAAAATGGAGCAGGTAAATACAAAGTTTTTTGAGGTCCAAATTTAAAGTATCTCCCCAAAACGAAACCGTTTATAATAACAATTCCTTTCGTCCAATCTCTCATATCAATATAAGTATCTTTCTTGTTGTTTTCATCGACGTTTAAAATTCCTTTGTATAATTTCGGTCCATCAGCAGTTAACAATTTTTTCGTTGGATTTAAAGAATTGTTGAAACTCCTCGCGAAATTTAAAGGATAAATCGTCCAATTTCTTAACGGGCGTACATCCAAATAAATTTGATCTTCATCCATACCTTTATGTTGATTAAATTGATACAATTTACCATAATTAATTCGCCCAAAATTTTCCACGACGATATCCAAGACTGCATTTGTAATTTCAGGAAGATCTAAAGTTGAATTATTTAATTTCCAGTAACCAAAGTGATTTAAATCGTCCATTGAGGTTAATTTTGGCGAAATTAATTGATGATTTATTAAAACCATGACTGTATCTCTAACATGTCCGGATATCTTTAGAACAGAACCTTTGGGAATTGTTAAATTTGTTTTTCTATAAACGATGTAACCATAATTTTGGCCTAATTTTTCCATATATGTTGTTGAAACATAATTATATTTTTCATAAACGTTTTGCAATAAATCATCTAAATCCATACATTTAGTTATTTCAATATCATCATAAGCAACTCTTCCTGGTAAAAAGGGAATTAGTGGGGTGTTAAAATTAATTTTAGAGTATTTCTCGATCAATTCTTTGATTGAAAAATATTTTTCGCCATAATCACCATTTTCGGCTATTGGAGCGTCATAATCGTAACTTGTTGTATCTAATTTAATGTTGCTATTATCGTTTTCATCATTTTCAACATTCGCCCCGTTCATAAATCCCCAATTAGTACCCCCATGAAACATATAAAAATTAACTGAGGCTGGATACTGAATAATTTCAAGTAAAGTATCCGAAATATCTATGTTTCTTCTAGTTTCGTGTTTATCACCCCAATGATCGAACCAACCCGTCCAAAATTCCATAACCATACACGGTTTATTGGGCTGATACGATTTTAAAATATCCAATTCTTTTTTAGCATCAATTTGAAAATTGGCGGTATATAAAACGTCAGGTAAACTACCGTCTTTGCCGTTAGATGGCGTATCGGACGTAAATAATAATTCTTTTATCCCATTTTTAAGGTAAATTTCTTTTAATAATTCTAAATATTTAGTGTCAATTGGTTGATTTTTCTCTTTAACATTTCCGTATTCGTTTTCGATTTGAAACGCAATAATTGGGCCACCATTCGTGAATTGGTACGGAGATAAAACCTCGAAAAGCTTCTTAAAGTAATTTTCAACCTTCTCCATAAATCCTACATAATGTGTTCGAATATCAGACGATTGCAATGAACCAGCTAAAAGCCATGGTGGTAAACCACCAAACTCCCATTCTGCACAAATATAAGGCCCTGGTCTGATTATAACAAGTAAATCTAATTCTTTTGCAATTTCTAAGAACTTTCCAATATTACAAAATTCTTGAAAATCCGTTTTTGATGTACCAAACTCAAATAAGTTCTGTTTTGGTTCGTGTAAATTCCATGGAACGTATGTTTCGACGCAAATCAAACTTGCAGCTCTTAATTTACTTAATCTATCGTACCAATAATCAGGGTGTACCCGAAAGTAATGTATCGCACCACTATAAATTGTTATTGTTTTTCCATTCAACTCAAAGTTATTACCTTCAGCTTTTAACCCGGATTTAATACCACCTTTAGTGTAATAATCGTAAACGGTTGGAAAATAATCCATTGTTGAAACTAATAAAGTGACCTAAAAGAGTAAAATGAAACAAACAAGAGTTAATATCGATGATACCAACAGTAGGAAGTTAAAATTTAAAAATAAAGTGACAAATTTTATTCTCTTTAAGAATTGTTTAATTTAAAAATTATTTTTATCAAATAACAACAAAGTTTACGTCCGATATTAAATTATATGCGTCATCACGGTGACCTTTAAAATTCATTATTTGCTTTTAAAATTGAAAAAAGTCGGCTTCATTACATTCATATCCTCTTTCACAAACTTATGAATCATCAAAAAAAGTTATCTTTTAAAATTTACATAGGAAATCAAGTTTTAATATGTTTTCTTAATAAAATTGCACTATGTTTAGTACTTGAGCTATTTTATCGCTTTATCTGATAACAAATAATTGTTTTTAATAAAAAGTACATAATATTAATTCTGTTTTAAACAATAATATCAGATTGTATTGTTCTGTTCTAATTTCCGCCTGAAAAAAACAATTAGATATCAAAGTACATCATAAAAAAGTGGATTTTTTTGCTTATGTTGCTCAAAATGATGTTGATTTCGTCTTGGTTAATCTACAAAATAAAAAATTTTACAAAGTTATGATTAAAATGTTGCAAATAGATGTTTTTGATTATCCACCCCTATTTTTTATAAAAAATTGCCATAAAATCCAATTAAACACCATCATAAACACAGAATTAATAACTGTCAGATTAACTAACCTAAAAGTGTCAAAATTTGACATTTAATTTTAATTTAAAAGAGATAATTAATATTATTACATAAAAAAAGTATATTTATTTTATAAATTAAACTTTATTTCATAGAAATTTTCCATCATTTATCATGTTTATATCTTAAATGATGTTGATTTCATCTTGGTAGATCTACAAAATAAGAAATGTTACAAAGTTATGATTAAAATGTTGCAAATAGATGTTATGAACATCTTTACAAGATTGTTTTTGATTATCCACCCCTATTTTTTTATAAAAAATTGCCATAAAATCCAATTAAACATCATCATAAACACAGAGTTAATAACTGTCAAGTTAACTAACCTAAAAGTGTCAACATTTGACATTTAATTTTAATTTAAAAGATAATTAATATTATTACATAAAAAAAGTATATTTATTTTATAAATTAATTTTTATTTCATAAAAATTTATCATGTTTATATCTTAAATGATGTTGATTTCATCTTGATAGATCTATAAAATAAGAAATGTTACAAAGTTATGATTAAAATGTTGCAAATAGATGTTATGAACATCTTTACAAGATTGTTTTTAATTCTTCACCCCTATTTTTTATTTGCCATAAAATGTATTTATTTATGTTGGATAACAAAAAATACAATTAAACACCATCATAAACACAGAGTTATTAATTAACCTAAAAGTGTCAAAATTTGACATTTAATTTTAATTTAAAAGAGATAATATTATTAATTATTACATAAAAAAAGTATATTTATTTTATAAATTAATCTTTATTTCATAGAAATTTTCCATTATTTATCATGTTTATATCTTGAAAATAAATACACTCGATTTTATTTTTGTTTTGAAATCCTACTAAAGTTGTATATGAGTGTCCTTGATGTTTCTTATCTCCCGGTTCCACTTCAACGTGAGTTTAATCGTTAAAATCATCTAATGCTGTCTTGTCATTGAATGCAAATAAATTGGATGTGACTTGAGAGGCCATTTTCTTGTTTTGAAAAGTTTTAATAACTCCTATTACTGCTTACAAAGCTGTTAAATATAGAAATGAATTGGCATATCAATTATTAATTTAATGAATTATTGCGATTATTAGATATACAACTCAGAATGATATGGTTTAATATTCGATATTGTATTTTTTGCAAGTTATACAGGTGGTCAGAAATGTGCGTCAAATTTCCATATTTCGAAAAGTCAAAAACTTAATTTTTTTAAATTGCAACCCCACTTTTTTCCTTCACCAGCGTGTTGAAAAATAAGAAGACTTTACATATAGACTCAGCTTATCGAGACAGACCCTTTACAGTCACAAATGGGACTTAACTAGAAACAGAAAAGTCCATAACGTTAGTAGTTTTTGGCCAAAAACGTACTTATGCAAGCACTTGATCGACGCGTGTTATACACCATTAGAAAGAGCAGAAAATTTTCGATATGATAGATATGGTTCTAGAGTTTTCTCCTGGTGATATAAGAAAGTTATCGACCCGACAAGCTTTAAAAGTGGCCAAAAAGTGTGAATTTAGTTGTTTTTGGTCAAAAACATACTTGTGCAAGCACATGGTCGCCGTGTGTTATGCACCATTAGAAAGAGCAGAAAATTTTCGATAAGATAGATATGGTTCTAGAGTTTCCTCATGGTCATATAAGAAAGTTATTGGCCCGACAAGGTTTAAAAGTGACCAAAAAGTGTAAATTTAGTGGTTTTTGACCAAAAACATACTTGTGTAAGCTCGTAATCGCCACGTGTTATGCACCATTAGAAAGAACAGAAAATTTTGGATAAGATAGATATGGTTCTAGAGTTTTCTCCTGGTCATATAAGAAAGTTATCGACCCGACAAGGTTTAAAAGTGACCAAAAAGTGTAAATTTAGTGGTTTTTGACCAAAAACATACTTGTGTAAGCTCATGATCGCCGAGTATTATCCACCATTAGAAAGAGCAGAGAATTTCCGATAAGATAGATATGGTTCTAGAGTTTTCTCTTGGTCATATAAGAAAGTTATCAACCCGACAAGGTTTAAAAGTGGATAAACGTGAATTTAGTGGTTTTTGGTCAAAAACATACTTGTGTAAGCTCGTAATCGCCACGTGTTATGCACCATTAGAAAGAACAGAAAATTTTGGATAAGATAGATATGGTTCTAGAGTTTTCTCCTGGTCATATAAGAAAGTTATCGACCCGACAAGGTTTAAAAGTGGTTAAAACGTGAATTTAGTTGTTTTTAGCCAAAAACATCCTTGTGTAAGCTCATGATCGCCGCGTGTTATACACTATTAGAGAGAGCAGAAAATTTCTGATACGATAGATGTGGTTCTAGAGTTTTCTCCTGGTCATATAAGAAAGTTATCGACCCGACAAGGTTTAAAAGTGGCCAAAAAGTGTGAATTTAGACATCCAAACCTCTCTAACTTTTCAACCAACAAACCATGGTATAAGCTATCAAAAGCTTATGAAAAGCCAGTAATTCACCTGCCCTCAACAATCTAGTGCATTCGATACATACTGAGGAAAGCTGAGTAGATTTGTGGATTTGTAAAAGCTATGTTGCTGGTTAGATATATGGGCCATAGTGAAAATTCGATTTTGCGTGTCATGGCCAATAATTTGTTTTCAAACATTTCGAGCTAATAACAAATTAGGACATGTTGTTCAAAATAATCTTGGTAGATCTACAAAATAGGAAATGTTAGTTACAAATATATGTTATGAACATCTTTATAAGTTTGTTTTTGATTATATCTTATTCACCACCCCTATTTGATGATTGTAATAGAAGTAATTAAACATCTTTATAAACGCAAAGAAAATAACTGTCAAACTAAATACACCTAACCTAAAAATGTCATAAAATTTGACATTTAATTTTAATTAATTTTTAATTTAAAAACATTTATGATTAATACTTTTTGATTAACATAAAAAGAATATATTTATTATATTTACAGAAATATTGGATATAATGTAAAGTTATATAATGAGAAGAAAAATGATTATTTTTTAAACATTATTTACAAAAGTAATAATCAAATAAATGCGTCAAGGATTCGAATAAGGTAATATAAAAGCATAAACAACGTTATTTTCCATCGTTTCTATTTTTAGATATTAAATTGAGGACGTGAAATTAAAAAATTGCGGCGCAATTTCTTATCTCTTACGCTGAATAAGAGATGTCGCTGAGTCTAGATATTTGTTTATTGGTAAATCCCGTTTTAAAAGTTGTTATCTTATCTTTTTTGCTATTAATAACAACGTTAATAACAAAACGGTGATAATTTCGAAACGATAAGTAACGTTGGTATAAATATTATCGTTTTAGTCGCTTAGCGATTTATTTAACGCGAGTCGTTGGTGGGAGAAAGACAGAGAGACGCCGAGACTGAGTTTTGTGTGGGGCAGTTATCGATTGACGCAGCTGTGAGCTGTGAAAGTTGTTGAGTGTGTGTGAAAGGAAAGCAGTGAGAACAAGATTTCTAGAAGTAAATCCTCGTTTTTAGATCAGAAAATTTTGGGGAATTAATCGTTGAGAAAAAGCGACGCGGCTCAGAACGTCTAAAGTACGAGTATTTTTAATAATAATTCGTGGATACGTTCTTTAAACTTCAAACCCGACTTGCATATGGTGAGTGGTGACTCCTTTGTTAGTAAACGGCCGCCATCTTGTCATCATCATCGGATATTGTAGCCGCGAAGACTTTTTAATCCAGAATTGTAGTGTTTTATTGAAGAAACGAAGAATAATAATAAAACGACGGATTTCTCGAGTGTTTTTACTTAAAATTTGATGAAAAATTGTGTTTTAAAAAAGTATCTACCTAAGAACAATTATCTTTTCTGTTGAATATGGCACGATCTCGAATGTCGAAATCCCCCGAAAAAGGTGCCGCCACGAAATGGTTCAAAACAATAAGCCCCCCGAGTACACCGATGGGACCAAGTCCCGGTACCAGTCCGAGAACATCACCGGGTTTATTAGCTGGTCATTACGCCGGATGTAAATTTACTGAACCCCCGGCACCATCAGCCCTACCTCAACCGCCAAAACATTGGACGCAGGGCTTTGTATTCCGCGATCATCAATCTTTCGACATTGCGCACCAATTAAAGGTGCTATTAAAGGTGCAGGCCTGATATGGGTCATCCAACGAACGCACGAACTCTCCTAATGTAATTTTAAGATTTGGAAGCGAGTGAACACGACAATATTTAATAATTGTATTTTGAAACAAAAAAGTTTTAAATAATTAACGAAACCCAGTTAAAAAATTTTCATTTTTTTTTTTTAATCTTATTAATTCTTTTTGTATCAATTGAT